GAAGAGGGTGTCAAATTCCCCTGGAACTGGAGTTATGGATGGTTGTTAGCCACCATGTGGGTGCTGGGACTTGAACCTAGGTCCTTTGCAAGAGCAGCCAGTGTTCCTAACAGGTGAGGCATCTCTCCAGCCCCTGTTTTATATTGTTTTGAGACAGAGTCTTCCCATAGCCCCAGCTGTCTTGGAACTCGCTAAATAGACCAGGCTGGCCTTGAACTCATAGACCTCCACCTGCCTCTGCTTCCTGAGTGCTGGGACTAAAGCATGTGCCACCACACCCAGCTCAAGAATTTTTTTTTTTTTGGTCTTTTTGAGACAGGGCCTCCCTGAAGCCACAGCTGGCTTGGAACTTGCTATGTAGACCAGGCTGGGCTCCATTTCACTTTCATAGCCCCAGTTGGCCTGGGCTCACTGTGTCAAACAGGTTGGTCTATAACTTACAGAGACCCACCTACCTCTGCCTCCCAAATGCTGGGTTTAAAGGCGTGCAGCACCAGACACAGAAAGACATTTCTTTATTTCTGTTTATTTCTTTATTATTTTTATTTTATGTGTATGAGTATAATGTCTGAATGTAGGTAGGTGCACTCGTGTTGTGCAATGTCCTCAGAGGTCAGAAGAAGTCATTGGATCCCCTGGAACTGGGGTTACAGAGAGTTGTTAGTCGCCATGTGGGTGCTGGGAATTGAATCCTGGTCCTCTGCAAGAGTAGACAATGCTGTTAACCACTGAGCCATCTCTTTCCAGCCCTGGTTGATCTCTGCAGGCATTGCACGACACAGGTGCACTCACATACATGGAGGCAATACACTCATACTTACAAAATAAAAATAATAAATAAAATATTGCCTGCATGTATGTGAGCACACTTATGTTGTGCAATGCCTACAGAGATCAGAAGAGAGCATCGGATCCCCTGGAACTGGAGTTGCAGATGGTTGTTAGCTGCCATGTGGGTACTAGGAATTGAACCCGATCCTCTGAGCCATCTCTCCAGCCCCCTTGATTTTTTTTTTTTTAAATGAAACTGGAACCAGCAACTCAACAATTTAAAAATAAAATACAATCTAAAGACAAACCAGTTTGCTAGATGTGGTGGCCTTTAATCCCAGCAGTGGGAAGGTAGAGGCAGGCAGATCTCTGAGTTCTGTATCTAGGACTACATAGTGAGACTTCTCCGAAAAAAGGGGGGAGGGGAGAAAGAATACCAATTTGATACTTATATGCTGAGGAATGATGATAGGGAAATATTAAAAGTCTTTGCTTTCTGTAATTCAACTTTGCACAATAAAAAAATCTGCAATTTAAGATGAGTGTGGTGGCATACAATCTGTGAGATTGAGGCCAGCCTGGTCTACATAGTAAGTTCCAGGCCAGCTAGGGTTATAAGGAGACCCTGTCTCAAAACAAACAAACAAAAAAACACCCTATAATTTATAACATACAAGCTGGGATGTTTCAGGCAGCATTTATTAGCATTGTGTTGGAATGACAGCATACTCAGTGCAAAGTACACATGTTGTGTGTTCAGAGCCAAGGCTGCAATGAAGTCAGGTGATAAAACCTGAGCGAGTACTGCCAGAGGCACCTGAGATTCTTTACACATTGGATTTTGAATTAATTTTTGGTTGTTCAGAAACCTTTTACTATTGCCAAGTTTTTTGTAGCCTGGAGTTCATGTCCATGAACCACAGTTTAAGCTGTGCTGTGGGTAACAGTGAGACTAAAAAGACAAAAGAAAACCTTTAAGGCAAATCCCATCCAACCTACAATGCTAGAATGCACTTGAGTTATTTTTGAGCCATAGAGTATACAGTGAATTGGCAGAAAGACACCAACAAGGACCCTTTGTATGACTACTATAGCTATGTCCATTGTGGTTACAACATACCTTTGGAATGTGTAGGAGCCTGGATTCCCAACTACAATAGAAATATTAGCATTTAAAATCATCCTGTGCTCAGGGCCTTGGCTTGAATATCTACCCAAGTTAGAGGCTCTCCAAATTCTACCTAAGATTGCTGCCATGGGACTCCGTTTTTTTTCTTTGAGCTCCTGTAACCTCCATGCCCCAGATCACATTCTTATTAGCAGGGTACCAAGTAGAAAAACACAGGATAGATTTTTGTCCTGCCTACCATCATGTGAAATCCATTTCCCCAGTTCTTTGCAAAGGTGTCATAGTCGCTTCCCTTTTTTTTTTTTTTTTTGGTTGAGACAGAGTCTCCGTACGATGCAGCCCTCTGGCTGGCCTGGAATTTACTATGTATATACTAGGCTGGCCTCAAACTCAGAGAGATCTGCCTGCTTCTGCCTCCTGAGTACTGGGATTAAAGATAGGCACCACTATTACCAGGCGTGGTGGCACACGCCTTTAATCCCAGCACTCAAGAGGCAGAGGCAGGTGGAGCTCTGTGAGTTCAAGGCTAGCCTGGTCTACATAGTGAGTTCCAGGACAGCTGGGGCTACAAGGAGACCCTGTCTCAAAAAGACAAAAAAAAAAAAGATAGGCACCACCACACCCAGCTAATCTCTTCTTTAATCTAGGTGCTGTTCTTTCCTCTGGTGCTGTTATTTCTTCCTCCTTAGAATCTCAGAGAAACTCATTTCTGGGCCTTGTTCTCTCTGCAAAGCAATGTTATTTTCATGTATAAAAACTGAGTTCTTCACCATTCTGAGACCAGCAAGGAGACAGGCTTATGTCTATGTGTCATCTTCAAGAGCCTCCGGGAGCAAGGATTTGGGAAGTCCCTCAATAATTTGCCCATGGCTTCCATTGCTCTGTAGGTACATTCCCACCTGAAGTACCTGGTGGACAACCATGCCAGTGTATGGGCATCTGCCAGCTTTCAAGAGCTATGGCCGTCTCCACAGAACCTGAAGCTCTTTGAAAGGTACCTCTATACCTTGAGAATTGTGGCTCCATTTCCTCCTGCCTTTGGGCATCTTGTGCCAGCCAGTGTTACAAGACCTGATTCAGAATCTATTTTCCTGCTGCTATCTCTCATTGCATGACATCATCCCCTAAAGAACTCATCTAATTGAACCATACTATCTCCAGCAAGCCATATTATTGCCTATCCTCCATGTCTGCCTTGCTTCCAGAGAGTCCCCCTGGGCTGTGACTATTGCCATTTGACTCAGATGTGAGTCACCTCTCCATGGAAGCTGTATTCAGCCTTTTTTTTCTTTTGTTCAAAAACCATGTAATTTCAGTCCTATTGCATTTCAATCACTCACTCACTCACTCACTCACTCACTCACTCACTCACTCACTCACTGTAATCATGACCCAGATGCTGGAGGGGGCACCAAGCCTATAATCTGTGAGCCCAAATGCCAGCAATCACGCCCATTTTCTAAGAGCTAATGGTTCCAGAGGGTGTCCTTGGGACAAGGGGCTGAGCTTAAACCTTTTCATTTCACAACTAAGAAATCATAGCTGAGGACAGGATTTTCCTCATGAGTGTTTACCCAGGCCCTCACCACTTGAGCTGCCAAAATCCAGGTAGATAGCTCCAGATGCAGGGTGGCATGCTACTGTGCCATGCTTGAGCTGCTTCTGGTTAAAACTTAAGTATTTCTTACTGAGACATAATCCATATACCATCAAGTTCTACTCATGAAAACTATATAATTCAATAGTTTTTTAAATACATTGACAGTTATAAACCTCATCCTACCCAACTTAGATCATTCTTATCACCCTGAAAAGAAATCTTGTGCCCATTAGCAGTCACTGCCTGGTCTTCCTACAATCCCAGAAACCTTATCCAATCTATTATCTATTTTCTGTCTCTAGGTTTGCCAGTTGTAGACCTCTCATGTAAACAGAATTATAAAATATTTGACCTTTTGTGACTGGCTTCTTTCACTGCGCATACTGTGTTCAAGGTTCATTCACATTGTAGCCTATAATTGACAAATGGTCCTTGATTATATTTTATGAAAAAAATAATTCAAGTCAGGAAATAGGCATTTCAGCTTCAAGTGCTATGATGGAATATCACTTTTGTAACCTGAAGTAGTGTGGCATTTTCTGCTCTTAATGTTTTAGGGCTGCTGAAAAAGGAAATTTTGAAGCTGCTGTGAAACTGGGAATAGCCTACCTCTACAATGAAGGCCGTAAGTCCCTGGGCCCCTATGGGTGTTGGCACTTTAGATACGCGCAAGCCTTCAACCCTTCAGGAGCTCATGGTCTACTTGTTCTTACTGTACCTGATGGTTTGCCTGTGTCTGCTCTCAGTCATCTGTGCCTAGAGGTGCCCTGTACAGAACTCATTGACACTTTGACTTAGGTTCTAAGAAAGTCACCTCTTGTTTTCTGAAACCCTTGAATTTGATTCATCAAAGGATGACTCTGATCAGAGCCTCAGAATTGGGGCTGCTCAGGCAAACCAGCCTATGTCCAGATACCCTGCCCTCTGCCCAGTTAACAGCAAGGCCTGGGTATGAATGTGGCTCCTTTACTTGTCCATTCTGTGGAACTTGGTCAGAAGTCAGCATGCCTTATTCTATAGGGGACAGTGACACAGGAGCCACCTAGCATGCCACAGACAGATCAGAGCCACCCTAGGGCCTGATCCTTTTGCCCCCCGCCCCAAGACCAACTGCTCCTTAAAAGACTCTTGCAGGGCATGGTGATATATGCCTTTAATTCCCATACTTGGGAGGCAGAGGCAGGCAGATCTCTGGCCTACATAGTAAGTTCCAGGCTAACCAGAGCTGCATAGTGAGACCCTGTCTTTAAAAAAAAAAAAAGACTCTGGCAAGCTTCTGTGCTCAGCACCCCAAGGAATCAGCCTCAGTCTGTGCTTTCCCATCCCCATGATGTAAATGTTTAATGATTATAGGGTATAGACCATTGTTCTGCATCTATAAGATCTGGTGTCTTGCTGAAGTGTCTGCCCTTGGCCAACTTACAGGGCTATTATGACTGAGAACCTGTGAGCAGCCCTCTCTTCCAGGCTTATGATACCCGAGGTCCTGTCCCTACCCTCCTGTCAGATAGCAATTCCCAGATGTGAATCATGCACCACAATGTGCAATGCCATGGTTTTTAGTGTATTTCTTGTACAATGATTGCTAATCTCATTCTAGAGTATAATCATCCTCAAAAGAACCCTTCCCACCAACCCTTTAGCAGGATCATTTTCCTGCAGGCTATAGGAGCCCCTCAGCCCCTCGGGGTTAGAATCCAGGCTTCATCAAGGACTCCAGAAGAGGCTTATAACAGAGATGACTTGAACAAAGCAGGGGGAGAATCTAGAGCCCCATCCTAGACTACTCATGTCTAAAACACTGGAGGCTTTGCCTTTTGGTGGGTTTATGTTTTTAGACTGCTAAAAGATTGGAAAATTTTGCTCATTCCAGCCCCCAGAGACATCCTGGGTCTGTCCTGTTTTCTCCCACAGTGTCTGTGTCAGATGAGGCCCGTGCAGAAGTGAATGGCCTGAAGGCCTCTCACTTCTTCAGTCTGGCAGAGCGATTGAATTCAGGTGCTGAGCCCTTCATCTGGCTCTTCATCCGCCCACCCTGGTCAGTGTCTGGAAGCTGCTGCAAAGCTGTGGTCCATGAGAGCCTCAAGACAGAGTGCCAACTACAGAGAGTAAGTTGTGGCAAGGCCCACAAGGCATAGCATCCATGAGTCTAGTTGGAGTCCTAGAATACAGGAAAACCCTGGAGCAAACTCCATGGGCCTTGTCAGAAAGCTAAAGGAAGTGGAGGTGCAGAAAACTGAGTATAGGGCTGAGGCTTTAGCTTAATGGTAGAGCGAGCCCTCCCCGAGCATGTTAGGCACCCTGGGTTCCATCCTCCGTATCCCCCAAAAAGAAAAAGAGAAAGAAAGTAAATAAATTGAGTGTAGATGTGGGGAAGTATCTTCAACTGAAGTAATACAAGCCAGGGGTGATGGCAGAACTCCTGGGAAACGTGTTGGTGGCTGGAAACTAAGGACTTAGGCTAAAGAAAACAGCCAGAGCTGGAAACTAAAATTTGACAGTGGTCTTTTGTGTGAGGTCAGGTACTGAACAGCAAGGTGGGAAGGGTCGTGTCTGCCAAGAACCACACTTTCTTCTTTTTTTTTTTAAGACTCACAAAGCTTCCTTACTGCACTGCTTGGGAAGAGTGCTAAATCTTTTTGAGGTGAGTTAAATTGTTCTCTCTGTTAAAAGTTTGCCTTGTTTTGACCTATCCCTGGCATAGTTCCAGGAAATACCTGAACAAAAGCAGAAAAGGGCATCTAGGGTCTATGTAGAAGACAAGCTCTGTTCTGAGAGGCTACCTGGAGGCGAACCTTAGCAGGAGATTCTGGCTCTACCATCATTACCTTCAAGGGAGGCCCTTGAGTGGGCTCTGTGACCTGACTCCTGGAGAGCTCTGAGAATTAAATGGGACATTATGAGTAAGGCCCAGCAGTGTGGATACACTGGGAACTGAGTAGACAGTGCTGACATGTTTGCCATGTGACTCTGCTATTGGTGGCCTTCCAGACTTCTCTACTCTTAAGTTTTTAACAGGCTTTGTGAATCCCTTCTGCAGGTTTAGGGAAGGCAGTAGCTTCTAGTGAAAGCATCAAAAGGATGTAGAAAGCACCTAAAGAGATAGAGGAACACTGAGAGCCACCAGCACCAGCACCCATGAGGACCAGGGAAGTTCCTGTGGAAGCAAGAGTGAAGTGCAGACTTTGTGTGTCCCAGACCCATGTCCACACAAATCTGGAAAAGCAGAGTCCCGAGGCCATGTTCCCTGTTGGTTAGAGCAATTGTATGCTTAGTAATAGCATTTCTACTCTGATGTAGTTAATTTATTAGTTAACATACTGCATGCAACTGCAGGTGGAGGTAGAATAATTTATCATTGAGCAGAGGGTAAGAAAAGAACTATGTTTGGCTTTACTCTAGGATGAAGAGAAAAGGAAACAGGCTCATGACTTTTTTGAAGAGTCTGCTCATCAGGGATGCTTGGCCAGCTCATATCTCCTTTGGGAAAGTGACAAAAGGATGGATGTAAGTAGACCCTAGTCTGGGAGAGGATAAGTCACGTAGGCACAGTTTCTCATGTAGCTCTGGGATAAAGTTTAGTTAGCAAAAGGGAGGATTCTCTCAGCTCCTTGCTTCTCAGGACTTCGGAGCTTCTTAGCAGTGGGCTGCTATTCAGCATCTGCAAGAAGACCATTGTTTGGGGATAAAGGCTGGGAAGCCAGTTCATTTGAAGAGGGAAGAGACATTTAGAAACCTCATGGGACAGTTCTGTGTCCCTCACAGGGCACAGCTGTATAAGGGTAACTTTATTTTGTTGACAGATGTCTGATCCTGGAAGATGCCTCCACAGCTTCCGGAAACTCAGGGACTATGCTGCCAAAGGCTGCTGGGAAGCACAGGTGATGTGAGGAGCTGACTTTGCTCCTTTCAACCTTGGGGCAGGACTGCCTTGGCTCTACACAGGAGACTGAAGCAGTATGATTGGTCCAGGGCTGCAGCTGAGTCTTAAAGGAGTTTAGCTCCTTTGAGTGTGCAGAGAGGGACCCAGAAATGCTTTGTTCATCTTTACCTGTCTCTACCCTTGTCTCTTTACCAGCTTGCCTCTTAATTCTAAGTGCTGCTATCACTTGAAAGTTGTTCTGTAGGTACTGCTTATTGTGAAAAGAAAGATTAGGGATGCCTCAGAGCAGAGGGTTGTGTGGAATGCTCTACTGTTCTTTTTAGCACCTAACCTTGCTCAAGGCATCCAGCCAGGAAATCAGGCATTTGTAATTGGCTTTCACTAAATTCTCCCCTTCCACCTGTAAAGAACTTTCAGGCTGGGGATGTAGCTCAGTAGCAGAGTACTTACCTAGTATGCAGAACTTACCTAGTATTCTTAGAACTGATGAGGGTGGGAGAAAAAGCTCAGTAGCAGAGTACTTACCTAGTATGCAGTACTTACCTAGTATTCTTAGAACTGATGAGGGTGGGAGAAAAAGTTATTTCAGAGCAAATCAAAGAAATCCTCACAGCTTGCCAAGCAGGTGGAAACTTGTTCTTACTGCCCCACATGTGGGTGGTTGATATCCATCAACACTCGAAACACTAGGGAAGAAAACACAAATCACCAGATGGCACAGGCTGATGTGTGTCATAGAATGTTGTGTTCATGTCCAAAAAGGTTGTCAAAGATTTACAAGAATTTTAAGAACTTGGACCAGTGAGATGGTTCGACAGATAAAGACACTTGCCACCTGATGACTGACCTGAGTTTGATCTCCAAGAAGAAGAGAACCAATTGCCAAAAGTTGTCCTCCACATTCATACATGGCACATATGCACCCACATACATACTAACATATAACACAAATAATTGTAAAAGATAAATAATAAGAAATTCAGTATAATTAATAGTAGTATGATCCTAATGAATATTCAAAGGGCCTCAGATTCTCAGAAAAGAGGAAATAAATAGAAAAAATTGAAAAGCATGGTAACATTTGCCAAGCATGATGGCTTATACCTGTAATCCCAGCACTCAAGAGGCTGAGGCAGGAGGATCATGAGTTTGAGGCTCTCATGGGCAGGGGAGATAGTTCAGTTGGTGAAATGCTTGCTACACAAGCAGGAGGACCTGAATTTCATCCCCAGCATGTATGCTTTAAAAAAGACAAGTGGGGCTGGAGAGATGGCTCAGGTTAAGAGAACTGACTGCTGTTACAAAGGATGCAGGTTTGATTTCCAGCACCCACATGGTGGCTAACAAGTGTAACTCCAGCTCCAGGGGGGAATCCAATGCCTTCTTCTGACCTCTAGGTGTTGCACGACACAGGAGCACTTACATGCAGGCAATACACTTATACACATAAAATAAAAATAATAATGAATAAAAATTTTTTTTTTTTTGGTCTTTTTGAGACAGGGTCTCCCTGTAGCCCCAGCTGTCCTGGAACTCACTATGTAGACCAGGCTGGCCTTGAACTCACAGAGATCCACCTGCCTCTGCCTCCTGAGTGCTGGGATTAAAGGTGTGCACCACCGTGCCTGGCGAATAAAATATTTAAAAAAAAATTTTTTTAAAAAGACAAGCAATTGGGCATGGTAGTACATGTCTTTAATCCTAGCACTCTGTGAGTTCAAGGCCAGCCTGGTCTACATAGTGAGTTTCAGGCCAGCTGGGTCTACAGGGAAACTGTCTCAAAAAGACCAAAAATAAAGGAAGAAAGAGAGAGAAATACAGGCATGAGGCCAAGCATGGTGACACATACTTTTAGTCCCAGCACTCAGGAGGCAGAGGCAGGTGGATCTCTGAGTTTGATGCCAGCCTGATCTACATAGTGAGTTCAGGTCAGCTGGAGCTATGGGGAGACCCTGTCTCTAAAAGACAAAAAAATAGATAGGCATGGTGGTAGACACTTATTATCCCAGTGCTGAGGAAGCAGAGACAGGAGGATCCTTGAGGTTTGCTGGCCAGTCAGTCTAAATGAATTGCCAGGTTCAGTGAGAAGACCCTGTCTCAAAAAATAAGGTGAAAGAGTTGGGGCATAGCTCAGTGGTAGATCACTTACTTCACATGCATGAATCCCTAGGTGTCTGTCAATCTTCAATACTACCAAAAAGAATAAGGATAAGAAAGAAAAGAAAAAGGTGGAGAGTGGTTGGGGAAGACACCAAGATACTTGATATCAAATCTCTGGCCTCCACGTGCACCTGCGTACATGAGTGTGCGTGCATACACACACACACTAAAACTAAAGGAAAATTAAACTTTGCTACTAATTTTAAATGAGCTGTTTGGGACCTGTCTCATTAGTGAATAATATTTTGAGTGGCTAGCTAGTAGTAACTCCTGTGAGTAGATATTTTTAACGATCCTGGTTTCGGCTGATGAAGGGGTTATGAAAGTCAGCATGGACTTGGTTAGGTGTAGCAAAAGACTCCATAGCTGTTCCTGTGGGCTCAGATGTGGGGAACTGGATGTTCTACAAAATAGTCAACAGAAACACTAAATGGAAGAACAGGTACAATATGCCTATGTCAGATAACTTGGAAAAACTAATGTTATTGCTGGATAGGGAAAGAAAAGGTGCATGTCAATTGTGGTCAGAAATGTGTATGTACACTGAGCTACAAGTACCTAGGAAAATCCAGATGGAAGTGTATAAAAATGATTGGCAGTGGGGCAAGAGCACTGGCAGTTCTTACAGAGGACCAGGGTTGGGTTCCCAACACTCAAGTGGAGGCTAACTACCATCTGTAACTCCAGTTCCAGGGGATCTGACACCCTCTTCTGGTCTTCATGGACATTGCATGCATGTGGTTCACTTAACATACATACAGGCAAAACACTCAGATACATAAAAATAAATAATAAAGATTGACAGTGACCATTTGAAGTCTTTGTGGGTGCTAGGTGTGTCCTAAGTGTTAACAATTTTAGTCCATCCTCATCTGCTGACTCCAGGGCCATTAATGGACCATTTCATAGAAGAAACGGGTACAGAGTGGTCTCCCTCCTAGAGACCACGTAGCCCTGTTGTTACAGAAGGTTGAGAAGGCTCAGCAGGAAAATGTAGACACCTGTGTTTTCTCCTTCTGAGTCCTTCACTTTGGAAATGGAGAAGCTCACGCTCTGTTGTGCTTGTCTTTTCCTCAGCTGGCTTTGGCCAAAGCCTGTGCAAGTGGGAACCAGCTTGGACTAGAAGGGAAAGCGTGCAGTGAGATGGTCTGTCAGTTGTTCCAGGCCTCTCAGGCCATCAGCAAGCAGCAAGTCTTCTCTGTGCAAAAGGGACTCAATGACATAATGAGGTGAGCCCAAGTATCTGATCCAGTGACAGAACAATACCATAGTCACTTGTCATAGTGCAGTGTGCCATTCCATCATTAACTTCCTGGATCGCTCGTCATGTGTGTTTTTTAAAAACAGTATAAGCTATCTAAAACCAGTATAAGCTATCTAAACTTTCGTGAAGGAAATATTCTGCTTTACTTTTAACATGTATCTTATTTGCTTTTGATTTTTTTCACTTTTCCATCTGTGTGTGCATATTTGCATAGGTGTGGGTGTATTGTGCAAGTGGATATAGGTGCATGTACATGTAAGGCCCAAAGCTGATGTCGGGAATTTTCTTCCATTGTTCTTCCCCTTATTCAATGAGGCAGGGTCTCTTGATCAAACCCAGAGCTCACCAAAATGGCTAGTCTGTGTACCCCTATTGCTCTGGGGATTGCCTGTCTTAGCCCCTGAAGGCTGGAATTAACAGATGGGCTTCTATACCCAACTTGGCATTTGTGTAGATTCTGGAATCCAAACTCCAGTCCTCACACTTGATTGGCATGTGCTTAGTGACTGAGTGATCCCCCATCCCTGCTTTTGATTTTTGAGATAGGGGCTCATTATGTAGCCCAGTCCGGTCCTGACCCTCTGATCATCCTCCTTTGTCTCTTGAGTGCCGAGATTATAAGTGTAAGCCACCAAACCCTGTTCCTGTTCCTTTTATTGTTTAGTTTTTGTTTAGTTTTGGTTTTTTGAGACAGGGTCTCCTTATATCCCTAGCTAGCCTGAAATGCATTGTGTGACTAGGCTGGCCTTGATCTCAGAGATCTCCCTGCCTCTGCCTCCTGAGTGCTGGGATTAAAGGTGTGTGCCACCACACTGGGCTCCCAGTTATCATTTTAAGGTCATTGAACATGTAATACCATTCTAAACCTCTTTCTAAAATAATGGGACTCATCCATAGTTTCTGAAGCCAAACTACAGCCTTTTTTTGATAAAGGAGGAGCTAGATATTGAGCCTAGGGCCTTGTTCATAATAAGTTACCACTCCACTAACCTACAATCCCAACCCCTATAGATTTTTTTAAATAATTTTCTTTATAATCATCAGTATATTTTATGAAACTCATCAGCTAGCCAGGCCCAAGGACTTATGTCCCTGTCCTTTCCCTGGGGCAGTGACCCTGACATCCAGCCCAACCTTCCTCTTTCTATTGGTCTCCAAGGTTTAGAAATAACACAGTAAATTGCAGAGCATATTAAAGGGTAAAATAGAAAATGTGCATAATTTTTTAAGCTTACATCTGAAATTTCAAATACATTTTGGATTTATAATGGGCAGCCTCTGGTTCTTCATAGGAGATACTGCTCAGAACATAATATATGCTTAGTAAATAGGGTTTTTTAAAGAATATTTTAATTTTATTTTATGTGTATGAGTGTATTGCATGTATGTGAGTGCACCCATGTCGTGCAATGCTGCAGAGGTCAGAAAAGAGCATCGGATTCCCTGGAACTGGAGTTAAGGACAGTTTGTAGTCGCCATGTGGGTGCTGGGAATCAAACCTGGGTCCTCTGCAAGAGCAGTCAGTGCTCTTAACCGCTGAGCCATCTCTCCAGCGTGGAAGTTGGGCATGGTGGTACACACCTTTAAACACTAGCAGTCAGTTGGTAGAGGCCGACAGATCTCTGTAAGATCAAGGATAACCTGGTCTACATAGCAAGTTCCAGGGCATCTGGTGCTACAGGGAAACCCTATCTCAAAAAGAAAAATTGTCTTGAGGCCAGGGAGATGGCTCATTCAGTAAAGTAAAGCTGATGTACAAACATAAGGACCTAAGTTTGGTCCCCAGTACTTGCATAAAAGGCTGAGTATAGTGGTATGTGCTTATAATCCCAGCACTGGGGACGTGGATATGGATGGCCAGCCATTTTAGCCTAATTGTTAGGCCCCAGGTCCCAGTATAAGATCCTGTCTCCAAATAACAAGGTGAACTGGTCCTGAGGAATAAAATCCAAGGTTGATCTCTAGCCTATACACACACATCCACATGCACCTACAGTCAGCTGAAAACACACACACACACACACACACACACACACACGGAGGATTGTCCCAGGCTAGAGATATAGCTTAATTGGTAAAGTACTTAGCAAGCATGAAGGTACTTAGTATGCATGAAGCCTTGGGTTTGATCCCCAGCACCACGTAAACCAGCTGTAGTAGTGCAAGACCCTTGGTCCTAGCACTCTGAAGGTGAAAGCAGGAAGATTGAAAATTCAAGGTTAGCAGGGCATAGTGGGCATGCCTTTAATCCCAGCACTGGGAGGCAGAGGCAGCCTGATCTACATACAAACTACAGGGCAACCCTGTCTCAAAAAGACCAAAAAAAAAAAAGAAAGAAAGAAAAAAGGTTATCCCCAACTACATAGCAGGTTCAAGGCCAACATGGGATATACAAGACCTTGTCTCAAAAAAATAAATGGTCCCTTTCCCAGGATAGGATTATCTTTTGCACATACATATACTTACATGTTCACATATGCCCTCAGAAATGCAGATAACATTTGCCTGTTAGCAGCCCCAAGCTAGAATGCTTTTGTGCCCTGCCCCTATCCTACCCTACTAATCCCTTGTCTTCAGCTCTTCCCATCTGTTGGAAGGAATATGTTGATTATACTTTCTACAGTCTTACACTGTAATTTAACATTGTTTAGTTGTTATTTAACTTAGGTGTCTGGGCTTTTTAAAGCAAATTTAACTTTTAACACGTGATTCAGTGATCTGTTTTTGTAAATTTTGATTACATTTATTTTTTATGTATTGTATGTGTGCGTGTGTTTGTAGTAGTATGTGTGTGAACCCCCCCAAAAGAAAAAATACTATATGTGTGGTGGTTAGAGGACAACTTGTGGGAGTCCTTTCCTTCCACCATGTGGGTTCTGGGGATTGAATTTAGGTCCTGAGGCTTGGCAGCAAGCACCTTTAATCTGCTGAGCCATCTTGATGGCCCCCAGTGATCTGTTTTTAGAAGTCAGATTATTGGGCTATTGGATGGCTCAGCAGGTAAAGGCACTTGCTTGCCAAGCCCGATGATCTGAGTTTGATTCCCAGGACTCACATGATTGAAGAAAATAACCAACTCCAGAAATTTGTCCTCTGACCACCACACACTTGCTGTGGCACATGTGCCCATACACACATCCACTCCACACGAAATGAATGTTTTTTAAAAAAAAAAACACCCAAAAATTCAGGGACTGGAGAGATGGCTTGGCAGTTAAGAGTAATGGCTGTTTTTGGGCTGGGGAGATGGCTCAGCGGTTAAGAACACTGGTTGTTCTTGCAGAAGACCTAGGTTCGAATCCCAGCACCCACATGGCAGCTAACAGCTGTCTGTAACTCCAGTCCCAGGGGATTTGACAGCCTC